CAGTACTAACACATAAAAGGTAAAGTAAAACATGAAATACGAAAATAAAACAATAAAATAGTCATTACAAAAATGTTTTGTTGATATTCAGTAGTAAAGTTTGACTTACGGCTATTTCGACTCACGACCGGTTTCTCGGAACTGAACTCGGTCGTAAGTTGGATGGTAGGTGTATATATATACACACACACACATACATACATACATACATACATACATACATACATACAGGTACCATCTGACTTACAACCGAGTTCGGTTCCGAGAAACTGGTCGTAAGTTGAAATGGACAGAACTTGAACTTACTACTGAATATCATCACCACATTTTTGTGATGGCTTTGTTTTATTGTTTTATTTTGGTATTTCATTTTTTACTTTACTTTTTGTGCTGTTAGTACTGTATTTTATACTGTAAGGTTTAGGATAAACACTGTGTACAACACAAACAGTTGTTCATTTCCCTGAAATTTGGCATAAAAAACATGGTCGTAAGTCGAGTGGTCGTATGTCGAACAGGTCGTAAGTCGGATTGTAGGTGTATACAGTGGACCCCCGGTTTACGATATTATTTCATTCCAGAAGTATGTTTAGGTGCCAGTACTGACCGAATTTGTTCCCATAAGGAATGTTGTGAATTAGATTAGTCCATTTCAGACCCCCAAACATACACATACAAATGCACTTACATAAATACACTGACATAATTGGTTGCATTGGGAGCTGATCGTAAACCGGGGGTCCACTGTATATATACACCTACCATCCGACTTACAACCTGCTTGACTTACGACCACTCGACTTACGACTGTGTTTTTAATGCCAAATTTCTGGGAAATAAACAACTATTTGTGTTGTACACAGTGTTTATCCTAAACCTTACAGTATAAAATACAGTACTAACAGCATAAAAAGTAAAGTAAAACATGAAATACCAAAATAAAACAATAAAATAGTCATTACAAAAATGTTTTGTTGATATTCAGTAGTAAAGTTCGACTTACGACCATTTCGAGTTACGACCGGTTTCTCGGAACCGAACTCGGTCGTAAGTCGGATGGTAGGTGTATATATTCATTTATTTATTTATTTGGGTGTCTGGAATGCATTAATTGGATTTACATTATTTCATATGGGAAATATTGCTTTGACTTTTGGCCAAGCTTCTAGAATGGATTACAGTCGGAACTCGAGGTTCCACTGTACATTATTTTGGTTTGTATACTGGTTGGAGAGCTAGTCGTAAGTCAGTAAATGAGTACGTTACTGAGTGAGAAGAGGCTTTATAGTGTAGTGTATTTAATTTTTTCTATGTAGAAATTGCATGTACAAGATTGATTTCATATGTGAAAGTAATAATAGTTTTTGGTTTCATGATTCACGAAATTGTAATGACATGATTGCAAACAAACCATACCACGGATGGGGTTTGAACCTGCGATCAGAGTCTCAAAACTCCAGACCGTCGCTTTAGCCACTGGGCCAGCTAGCTTAATAAGATTCATCCTACTAGGTACATTTTTACACCATAGGAAGGTTAACATAGGCACCACTGTGTCCACAAATGCAAGTTTTTATGGACGAATCTTCTGCTAGCACGGCCATGACGAACTCTAGCTCAAGTCCCCTCAATCTAGCTGGCCCAGTGGCTAACGCGATGTTCTGGAGTTTTGAGACACTCTGACCACGGGTTCAAACCCACCCGTGGTATGGTTTTTTTCGTGATTTGTTAAAAAAAAAAATGAGGTAAAAGAACTTTTATTTTTTTGTCAGATATTGTAATAAAACATGTGAATATCTGTCAGTTGCATGATAATCTCTTCCAGAGTACTGCGTGTGCCACTGGTGTTTCGAATGGACCAAGAGAGTGATAACAATAATAAGAGATGCATGCAGCTGCTGGGTCACCCTTATCTTCTTGCTCTTCCTTCTCGGCTAAGTCCAGCATCACTAACCCGCACCTTGGCCCCGAGGATACCTCCTGACACTACCTATTCATTGTTACTTGTTGATGGAAGGGTAAGTTCATTAATATTATCATTATTATTATTAGCTTTTATCAACACAGTGGGTCTCTCCCAGCAAGGCAGGGTGACCCTGAAAAAGAAGAAATAAACTTTTTCTTCTTTTAGTAATTTATACAGGAGAAGGGATTATTGGCTCCTTGCTCCTGACATTTTAGTTACCTCATTTGAGACCAAAATTCGCTGATGACTACCTAATTAGTCATGTTACTGTTTGTGGCATGCGGATTGTCATCGTTATAACCATGCTGAACTGGCGCAATAAGCTTCTGCATCCTGCAGAAACCTATTGAATTCATTCTGGCAAGATTCTGTGGTGCATTATTGCAGCAGTATTATTCATATTTACTGTTATGTGCTATGTTGAAGATTAAGGCTATTGAGTAAATGGAAGATGAGCAAAATCACATAATTGTCAAGCTACAACCTTTCAGAACTGGGAAAAAAAATTATTTTTTCTTATGAAATGATAGAGAATCTTTTCCCGGTCATAATGACACCAAAAGTATGAAATTTGATGGAAAACTTACGGAATTATGCTCCCGCGAAGTTAGCGGTCTCAACGGTGTTTGTTTCGGCGATTTCGCCCACTTTGAGCCCTATTTTCGGCCAATTCCAATGTACTAGTCGACAAAAATCATAACTATTTTGCTAGAACTCCATTTTATTTTATCAAATGAGTACAAGAAACCACCCATTTACTGATTTCAACTATCCAATAAAGTGGTCAGAAATAGGCAATTTTGCCAATTTCCAAATAGGGTTTAGAATAAACAGACATTCCTGGCACTAAAATAACAGTTTCTCTGTTCATTAGTCACATCCCCAGGCCTCTTACATTTCTTTTGCTTTCCACTTCGAATTTTTATTCTCACAAAAAAATAGAAGATTTACTGTTATGTAGACAACTGCATTAGTGTAAAAATGGTATAAATAATATCAGCGTACTTGTGAAAGAATATTAGACTCGCCAGTTGACGTGTATTGGACGCTTGGCATGATTTGTTTACTCTTGAACTTTGGCAAAAATTGAATATTTCTGCTACTTTGAGCTTCGCTTCCTACGTGACTGTCTTGCTGAACAAGTTCTGCCACCTTCCTTCTCCCACTTCCTGAAAACCAACCCACTGGGCACTCCCTTTCCTGATCATGCCCGTCTCCTACTTCAACAGTTCATTCTTTCTACTAAATCACAGGTTGAAGATGCCTTCTTTACTTTCCATCAACGTCAACGCGCTCTCTTTGCGGCTCTACCACAGGATCTCTGTAACCTTCTCTCTACCATTGCCTTTGACACTGCTCGCCTGAATGCACAAATTCATTCTTCCAAACTACAAAATAAACTTCAACGTCTCATCTCAGCTAGCCCTTGGTCTAAATTCTCCCTCACTGACTGTGTTACTAATCTGTCTTCTGTCTCACTCTCTCAGTATGAGCTTGAACTTCTTGGTTTTGGCCTTTCCTTTGCCACTTCACCTACTCCTCGCGCTGGTATTTCCCTGATTAGCTCTTTTGATTCCTTTCGTCAATCTCGCTTCAGTAATCTTCCTGACTTGTCCACTTTTCGTGGTGTTCTCCTTCCTGCTCTTGTTAGTCTGTTTTCTAAGAATCACCACCTTCCACGCCGTTACCAACTTGCCCTTTCTTCTCTTAAATCCAACACTAACATTGTCATACTATCTTCTGACAAAGGTAATTCGGTAGTTATCCTTGATCACGAGGATTACCTCCGTAAAGCTGATGTCTTGCTCTCTGACTCATGCACCTACACTCCTCTCGTTTCCAACCCTCTTGATCGCATCAAGAGAACTTTCAACAAAAAACTAAGGACTCTCTCCGACCTCTGTCCTCCTGACTTTGACCTTGTTCAACGGTTTCGTGTCATCTGTCCCTCTCTTCCCTATTTCTATGGCCTTCCCAAAACTCATAAAATTGATATTCCTCTTCGTTCTACCATATCCTCTAGAGGTTCTGTCTCTTATTCTCTTGCTTTTTGGCTGGCCAAAACCCTCACTCCCTTTCTTGGTACTTTTTCTCCTGCCCACCTCCGTCACTCTCAAGACTTCATTGAACGGGTTCGCTCTCTCCCAACCTGTAAGATGCTTAGTCTTGACGTTGAGTCCCTCTTCACCAATGTCCCTCTTGATGATGTCCTTGATTTCCTTAGAGAGAAGGCCCATGAAGGGTTTCTTCATCTCCCTATCCCCACTGATGTCTTTCTTGATCTGATCCACCTCTGTGTGGACTCTAACTCCTTTTCCTTCCAAGGGAAATATTATTCTCAAACCTTCGGTGTCGCTATGGGCTCTCCTCTCTCTCCTGTCCTTGCTAATCTTTACATGGAATACTTCGAGACTGTTCTTCTTCCTACCCTCGATGTGCAACCTTCACTCTGGCTCTGCTATGTGGATAACATCTTTGCTCTGTGGCCTCATGACTCCAGTCTCTTCCAACCTTTTCTTGAAGCTCTTAATAATCTTGCCCCTTCCATTAAGTTTAAAGCTGAATGGGAATCTAATTCCTTGCTTCCTTTCCTTGATGTCCATGTCCACCGCTCAGATACAGGTTTTTCCTTTTCTGTTTACCGTAAACCTATGCACAGTGGCATGTACATTCACTACTTTTCCTATCATGCTTCCCCTGTCAAGAAAAGTGTTCTTATCTCCCTCTTTCTCCGTGCCCTCCGCATCTGTGATCCTCAGTTCCTTCCAGCAGAAATTTCCACTCTTCATAATTCGTTCTCCCGTCTTGGCTACCCTTCCCATTTCATAGACTCTACCCTCTCACGTGCTAAATGCAATTTCTTCTCTCCCAAACTCTCTACTCATGAGAACTTCTCTATCCTCTGCCTTCCCTACATTTCCGGTCTTTCTAATCTCAACAATTCTCTCCGTCCCTTAGACATCAAGCTTACCTTCCGCCAGACTAACACTCTTCACACTAATCTCGTTCATACCTCTCCTCCCACTACAGATGTTCCTGGTATCTACTCTATTTCTTGCTCCTCCTGTCCTCTTCAATACTTCGGAGAAACTGGTCGATCTCTTTCTGACAGACTTAGGGAGCACAAAAATAGTGTTAGACTTGCCGACACTAACTATGCTCTTTTCTGTCACGTCAGAGATCATAGCCATCCTATTGACTGGTCTTCTGCTAAAACTGTCTTCCCTACTTCCAACTCGAACAGTCGCCGTCTAGTTGAATCCTCTCTAATACACAACTTTCCTTGTATGAACCTTAGCCCTGGCTTCGTCTCTGTAGATGCCTTCCTCTCCCACTACATTGTAAAATGCTCCAAACTTCAGAACACCCGTGACTTAACCTGAATCCTCATTTTTCTTTTTCTTTTTCTTCTTCTTCCTCTTCCCCTTTCCTCTTTCCTTTGCTCCTCTGGGTTGTCTTTCTCTCTCATGTCTCGTGTTTCTGTTCCTTCTTCATTTATTTCACCACTTCCCTTTCACGCACCTCTGTGCGATTGCTCTCCCTCTGTGGGCATCTAGCTCTCTTGCAGTGCTCCCCTTCCTTTGTATTTGACTGGCTCGTCCTTTTATTTCCCATTTCTACCACTACCACTACTACTACCTCTTCTTCTACTACTACTACTACATCAACTACTGATGAAATTAAGATACATGTGCGGCGTCTGGTTGTCTTTGTTGTGGATGTTTCGCCATCCAGTGGCTGGCTGGATGGCGAGACGTCTATGATGAGGATGCCCGGGTGTTGTGCATATGTCTTAATTTCATCTTGTCGGTATTATATACAACTCTTGTACTACTACTACTACTACTACTACTACTACTACTACTACTACTACTACTACTACTACTACTACTACTACTACTACTACTACTACTACTACTACTACTACTACTACTACTACTACTACTACTACTACTACTACTACTACTACTACTACTACTACTTACTATACTACTACTACTACTACTACTACTACTACTACTACTACTACTACTACTACTACTACTACTACTACTACTACTACTACTACTACTACTACTACTACTACTACTACTACTACTACTACTACTACTACTACTACTACTACTACTACTACTATATACTACTACTACTACTACTACTACTACTACTACTACTACTACTACTACTACTACTACTACTACTACTACTACTACTACTACTACTACTACTACTACTACTACTACTACTACTACTGCTACTACTGCTACTACTACTGCTACTGCTACTGCTACTACCACCACCTCTTCCTGCCTATATATAGCCATCCTGCTCCACCTCTGGTTAGTGTGACTTTGTCAATGGTCCAAGTCGGACCGAAACGTCGTCGTAAGCTTCTCTCTTTTATGTGTGGGTTATTTGTGTATGTGTCCATTCTGTAAAATGAGACCAGGAAAACTAGAATACAACCATAAATAGCATACGAAAATACACTGCAAAGTCTCTGTTTTGAAGCAAAAACACAGTCTGAGTTTTTTTTTCTCATTATGCACTGTGTGCTGCAGGATTTTTTTTATACTGTTCACACTGACCAAGTAGACCCATTCTTTCATATGTAGGCCTACCAGCTTTCTCTCGCTAGATTTGAAGGTGCTAGAATTTATGTGTACTAATACGGCACCAACCCTGGCATGCAAGCCATACTAGTACGACACCAACCCTGAAAGGGTTAAAGAATTGATATACAGTGGAACCTCAAATATCGAACTTTCTTCGGTCCAGAAGGCTGTTCGAGTGCCTTTACCGAATGAATTTATTCCCATCAGGAATAATGTAAATTAGATTAGTCCATTTCAATACAAATTTTATTCAAATAATGTCATTTTGTTTGCTAGCATTTACAAATAAAATGTGGTATATAAAATCCAGCCAGTGAAGTGACATCAGACTGGTATATTTAATTTGCCAGAGTTTTTTATTTGTCTTCAGTTATGCATTAAGTTATTGTCTTCCTTTTCATCCAGTTTGCCTCACATTGGGAAGAAGAGACATACACCTGTATGTACTTGAGTATGTTCATTGACATAACAATCAGTGGAGATTTGCCCTAACTTACGAGTTAGTTTATGCATATATATTTCTCTAATTATGTTCTTGTGTAAGAATATGGTATTTGGAATAATTTTGGCTCTGTGTAAAATGAGTGCCAAATATAAAAGCCTGTGGTCTCTTATTAAAAAAACAATGTAAAAGCTCATATTATGAGATATATTTTTATGGATAAATGACACTAATTGTGGACCAAATAGGTGATTGTTGATGTGTGAAGGTCAGTTGTGATTTACACGGGTCTGCAGGTAATTCAAGATATAAGCAGCAATAGCCAGACTGATAAGGTAATCACCAGAAAAATCCTCTCCTGGCAATGCTGCAAGAGTACATATTGTCATTATCAGTCACAGGTATAGAAAATTTTTCTGTACCACTCTGCATTAAATTTTACTAATTAATATTATATATACATTTTCAGGGATATAATTGTTCTCGTTGTCTATTCTCTTCGCACTGTCGTGGTTGTGAAGTACTAAGTGGATCTGAGGTTATATTACAAGCTGGTGATACCTTGTGTGTGCGCTTCACAAGTCTCACACCTGAGCAGCGACACATCTTGACTTCAACAACAGATCATCCTTCTCTAAATGACATGCGGCAAAATGTACCACTCACTCTGTATGACTGCTTACGCGCCTTTACGCAGAGGTACTGTAAAACAAACATTTCTTTTATGTTAAAAAATATTAAACCTAATCGTTAACAGTTTAGACTATAAGGCTAAATTTGGCAATAAAAGCAACTAAAGGAGATTCATTGGAACTTCTAAAATACTATACAGTGGACCCTCGAGTTTCGAACTTAATCCGTTCCAGAAGCTAGTTTTAAAGTCGAAAAGTTCGAAAGTTGAACCAATATTTCCCATAAGAAATAATGGAACTACATTTAATCTGTTTCAAAAAACCCAAAAATATTCACAAAAAAAATACATTTTGTAGAGATTACATTATAGTTTTAGGTACACACAACAAACATACATAGTACAATTAGTAAAAATAACATTTTTACTTGCTTTTATTGAAGATTGTTGATGGTATCTGGAAGATAGGGAGGAGTGAGGGAGCACTTATTGTTTGGAAGGGGAATCCCCTTCCATAAAGACTTAATGTAACAAGTCCTTAACCTTTTCAGGGTCGACAGGGCGCTCTCCCAAATTCGTTCTCAGGGTCGAAAATTTTTCGGAAAAAACTAAAAGTTTCTTATGAAATGATAGAGCATATTTTGTGTGTGTTATAGGCCAAAAAGAAATTTTTTTGTTGAAGGGAGCATGGGGTTGTGTAAACAACATAGCTGGCTGGCTGGCAGGAATGCTGACTGGCAGGGAGACTGGCTGGCAGGAATGCTGACTGGCAGGGAGGCTGGCTGGCTGGCACTGTCTTATCACTAAACTAATGACAGCAGTGACACTTGATGAACGTTGTTTATCTTATCACTCCACTAATGACAGTGGTGACTTTTGATGAGCATACACTGCCTTTCGCTTATTCATTTTCACGTTGCACATAAACATGTCGGTCTGTCTCTTTCTGTCTCTGTCTCAGGGAGAGCCACTAGTGAACCAACACGTATTACACACGACTCAGTAGTCACTGCACCACATCTGAGTCCTGATACGTATTACTTGCCTGTCTGGATTTTTTGGGTTATCCTAGGTAATTTACACTATGTATTTATTTATTTATTTATTTATTTATTTCCAATTTGAGCACACATACAGAGGTACAAAAAAATACAGATAAGAGCAGCATGCCAAAGCCACTTATACTATGCATAGCATTACAGGCTGGCTTAAAATTAACTAAAGATTAACTAAGCAATGATGAAATCAGTGATAAAACATTAATGTAAACAGATTACTATAAAGCACAAGTGAGTATTACAAAGACAGGTCATATGGTTGCATTCAGTCATATGAAGGATTCTGTTAGGTAGTGTATTTAAAAAATAATAAAGTTAGATTCGGTTTTAGGTTTAACATTTATGTGATATAATTGTGAGAAACATTTAAGATATACAATTTATAAGGTTCAGTTATTCAGTATTTATTTGGTTTTGGGTGAGTAAGTGATCTTTGAGAAGAGACTTGAATTTATAAACAGGTAGTGTTTCTTTTATATTTTTTTTTTTTTTTTTTCAACAAGTCGGCCGTCTCCCACCGAGGCAGGGTGACCCAAAAAAGAAAGAAAAATCCCCTAAAAGAAATACTTTCATCATCATTCAACACTTTCACCACACTCGCACATTATCATGTTTTTGCAGAGGTGCTCAGAATACAACAGTCTAGAAGCATACACATATAAAGATACACAACATATCCCTCCAAACTGCCAATATCCCAAACCCCTCCTTTAAAGTGCAGGCATTGTACTTCCCATTTCCAGGACTCAAGTCCGACTATATGAAAATAACCGGTTTCCCTGATCCCTTCACTAAATATTACCCTGCTCACACTCCAACAGATCGTCAGGTCCCAAGTACCATTCGTCTCCATTCACTCCTATCTAACATGCTCACGCACGCTTGCTGGAAGTCCAAGCCCCTTACCCACAAAACCTCCTTTACCCCCTCTCTCCAACCCTTTCGAGGACGACCCCTACCCCGCCTTCCTTCCCCTATAGATTTATATGCTTTCCATGTCATTCTACTTTGATCCATTCTCTCTAAATGACCAAACCCTCAACAACCCCTCTTCTGCCCTCTGACTAATACTTTTATTAACTCCACACCTTCTCCTAATTTCCACACTCCGAATTTTCTGCATAATATTTACACCACACAATGCCCTTAAACAGGACATCTCCACTGCCTCCAACCGTCTCCTCGCTGCTTGCATTTACCACCCAAGCTTCACACCCATATAAGAGTGTTGGTACTACTATACTTTCATACATTCCCTTCTTTGCCTCCATAGATAACGTTTTTTTGACTCCACATATACCTCAACGCACCACTCACCTTTTTTCCCTCATCAATTCTATGATTAACCTCATCCTTCATAAATCCATCCGCCAACACGTCAACTCCCAAGTATCTGAAAACATTCACTTCTTCCATACTCCTCCTCCCCAATTTGATATCCAATTTTTCTTTATCTAAATCATTTGACACCCTCATCACCTTACTCTTTTCTATGTTCACTTTCAACTTTCTACCTTTACACACATTCTCAAACTCATCCACTAACCTTTGCAATTTTTCTTTAGAATCTCCCATAAGCACGTTCATCAGAAAAAAGTAACTGTGTCAATTCCCATTTTGAATTTGATTCCCCATAATTTAATCCCACCCCTCTCCCAAACACCCTAGCATTTACTTCCTTTACAACCCCATCAAATAAATATATTAAACAACCATGGTGACATTAACATCCCTGTCTAAGCCCTTTCTTTACCGGGAAGTAGTCTCCCTCTCTTCTAAAACACCCTAACCTGAGCCCCCACTATCCTCATAAAAACTCTTTACAGCATTTAATAACTTACACCTATTCCATATACTTGCAACATCTGCCACATTGCTCCTCTATCCACTCTATCATAGGGCCTTTTCTAAATCCATAAATGCAAAAAAAACTTCCCTACCTTTATCAAAAATACTGTTCACATTTTTTGCTTCAATGTAAACAATTGTTCTACACATCCCCTACCCACTCTAAAACCTCCTTGCCATCCGCAAATCCTACATTCTGTCTTACCTCTAATTCTTTAAATTATAACCCTACCTTTACACTTTTCCTGGTTACTCATAAGCTTTTTTCCTCTATAATCTTTACAGTCTCTTTTGTCCCTTTCCTTTATATAAAGGGACTATACATGCTCTCTGCCAATTTCCCTAGGTACCTTCCCCTCTTTCATACATTTATTAAACAAAAGTACCAACCACTCCAACACTATATCCCCCCCTGCTTTTAACATTTCTGTCATGATCCCATCAGTTCCAGCTGCTTTACCCCTTTTCATTTTACGTAATGCCTCACGTACCTCCCCCACGCTTAGATTCTGCTCTTCTTCACTCCTAAAAGATGGTTAACCTCCCTGACCAGTGCATGAAATTACTGCCTCTTTTCTTCCTTAACATTTAAAAGTTCCTCAAAATATTTTCGCCATCTACCCAATACCTCCATCTACTAACTCCCTACTTGTTTTTAACTGACAAATCCATATTTTCCCTGGCTTTCTTACTTGTTTAACTCCATTTCCAATTTTTTTTATTTTCTTAATAATTTCTGACGTGCCTCTCCACTCTATCATCTGCTCTCCTTTTGCACCTTCTTCACCACTCTCTTTACCTTTCTTTACTCTCCTTTACTCTCCCTCTTCTTATAACATTCTGCTTTGTAAAAACCCTCTATAAGCACCTTTTTTTCTTTTAATCACACCCTTTACTTTCATTCCACCATAAAATCCTCTTTCCTCCTGCCCCACCCTCCTATAACCACAAAACCATTCTGCCCCACATTCTAAAAACTGCATTTTTAAAACTATTCCAACCCTCTTCAACCCCCCCACTACTCATCTTTGCACTAGCCCACCTTTCTGCCAATAGTCGCTTATATCTCACCCGAACTTCTTTTATATTTACAGGTAATGAATTCCAGATTTTAGGGCCTTTTATGTGCATTGAGTTTTTGCATAGTGTGAGATGGACACGAGGAACATCAAAGAGTGATCTGTGCCTTGTTTTTATGGTCATGTGTTCTGTTGAGGTTGGCAAGGAGATGTTTGAGGGGAGGGTTAATATCAGAGTTAAGTGTTCTATGTATGTAATAGGTGCAGTAATAAGTATGGATGTTTTGTATGGTGAGTAGGTTTAGTGTATTGAATATTGGTGGAGTGGGGCTGCCTGTAGTGAGGAATTTTATCATTCTAACTGCAGCCTTTTTGTGGGTAATTAGGGGTCTGAGAGGGTTTAAAATTGTTGTTGAGCCCCATGCACAAATTTCCCATAGGTGAGATGGGGGTAAATAAGGTGTGATATAGGGCCAGGAGGGCGGGACTGTGGAACATAGTACCGTATCTTCGATAGTATGCCTACAGTCTTGGAAATTTTCTTAGAAATTTGTTGTATAGTGTAGAAATTTGAGTCTATTATCAAGGTGGATTCCTAAAAATTTTTCCCCCTCTGTTAGTTTTGTGATAGGTGATCCGTTTTTCATTTGTTAAGAGGGACATCTGTACCCTCTGTTACCAAACTGAATGAGTAGGTTTTGTCAATGTTTAGTGTAAGTTTTTTAGTCTCATCCGGGTAGATATTTTCTGTAATTCGGAAATTTACAGTATTGGCTAGTTGACGGGAGCTCGGGTGAGAGAAGACAAAATGTAGTGTCATCTGCAAATAGTGTGGGTTTGAAGTAATTGGGAAGCATTTGGAAGGGTCATTAATGTATAGGAGAAAGGAAGAGGGCCAAAGGACACTTCCCTGTGGGACACCAACTGTAATTGGTTGCGCAGAAGAGTTTGTTCCATTTGCGTCACATATTGGCTTCTGTTGCTGAGGTATGACTTGAGGGGGTGCCTCTTATACCATAGTGTGACAATTTTACGTGGAGAAAAGTCATGGTCAACTGTATCAAAAGTTTTACGTAAGTCAATGAAGATCCCCAGTGGGACTTCTTTTTTCTCTATTGCAGTGTATATAGTTTAGCATGTGTAAATAGCATCATTAGTATTTTTATTAGGCCTGAATCCAAATTGGCAGGGGTTGAGT